GACAGGAAAATCAAATGATAATGACGGTTTTCTTTTGTCTTCGTTTTTTCAAATTACACTTTTTCCGTTCTTTTATCCGACATAAAAAAATTTGACTTTGAATCACCTTGAAACGCTTGCAACAGTAGACAGTTGATAAAGGAATACATTAAGGCAGCATTGTATTTATGAAAGAATGTGTCGACGAAAAGTCAATCGATTCCTTTTTTTTCTCTCTAAATCAAGGATTTTTTTTCCCTGCACATCAAGAAGAATAAAATGCTGAGCAAGGTCGATGTGTAATGACATCGATTGTGTCGAGGTAAATAAAAATTGCCGAAATCATCAAGAGGCGGAATTTAAGGCAAAATTACACATGAACAATTAACAGTGAAGAAAAATGAGGCTAATTTTCAAAGGCAAACTGCATTAGGACAATCCTTGGAATCGGTCACATCCCATTGTGTTCAATTCAAAATGACAACATTTTATTTTTCCTCTAATAACATTTAATCACACATTTCATTCTCGTTTATTCTGGATCGAGAGAGAGAGAGAGAGAGAGAGAGAGAAATTCGGGGTTCTCGACGAGTGTTGCGCTCGCCGCTCGCACATTGCCAAACGAAACAAAATGCATTTGACAATAGTCGTTGTGCCGTGTGTGTGTGTGCTTTGCATCTGCCTCCTTAAATGTTATATAAACATTTCAATTCGTACATCTGGATTTTTATTACAAATAAAAATGGTTGCGCATACAACAGCAGCAACGTCAACAAACCATTTTCGGCAAAGTCTTTATTTTTGAACGTTCATTGCTTGGCAAACACCCAGAATCCATTCTCCATGTTTATATTGTTGGCAATCACGCGTGTGCCTGATGCAATCGAACGCTCGGGCCGAAATTTATTGGAATGTGTCAGGCGTCCGGACTTCTATGCTTCCGGTTACCATTATTCAGCTTGCAATCAACTTCGACGTGTAATTATACACTGTCTCCCGATGCATGGCAGTGATGCAAAGCCAATGGCAAACCTTGTAAATATAACATAATTGATATTTCGTGTAACAAATCGGAGATGAGACGGAATCAACACGAAAAATAATAATTAACTAAATATGACAAACTTTGAAAACAATTAATTAGAAAAATTTCTTTTTAATCACGAAATCTCGTTCACGAAATTGATGCGGTCGCCAAAGAAAAAACTAACATTCCGTCATCTCAAACGAAAGATAAATCACCACTGAAAATTAATTTATAGCTGCTTCAAACTCCATCGAAATTACATTTTTTTTGTCTTCTCCGTCGTACCCAGTTATCATCATAGCCATTTTAACATACCAAATTATGGCAACTTTGTATGATAATTGATTGAACATTCTGACATGCCTGACCGCCAACATATTTTTCAACTAAATTTGCGCGCTGCTACTACTCACGCGCACTAACGGCGCGATATCGATAGCCCCGTTTTTCAACTCGAACTTTCATTAAAAATCATGTTATTTTTCACCACAAACGCCAACAGACAAAAAAGGACGGAGAGAGAGAGAGAGATGCGACAAGCAATGAGATTAATTTACATTTTATGAAAAATGCCACCGTATATTTTATACCCTCGAATTGATCGCACGGCCCCGATTGGATTGTCTCGCAAAATATTTGTCATAATATCATAAATTTTACAATAAATTGCACATTATATTCATGAAACGAGCGAAGAAATATGCGATACGTATAAACAATTTATGCATAAATTGAATTGCATACCCAATACTAACTATTCCATATACTCGATGGCGAATGGCATTCGGCTGAAAAATTTTCACGTGGAATTTTTTCAAATGATTTTTTGCCACATAAAATCGGAGATCGTTATTACATGTTGAAATCATGGGATAGGGCAGAAGTAGCAAATGCACACAAAACAGACGAAATAGTGATAAAATAGCAAAATCTGCATCCATCATGGCAAAAACCATGATCGTTGTTTTTCTTCTTCAATTTTGGGTACTTCGGTCGGGAATTAAGAAGAATTTTGAAAATTACCCATTTTCCATATTTTTTCAACCGATTCCAATAGCCGTCACCTCTCATACACACGCTCGCTCAGTGCAGTCATGCAAAAATATGAAATGAAAAAAATGAGACCTTTTGCGACCGCTTGATTAATTGATGGATACGATAAGTAGAAGGAGCGCACAAGAAAAATGTTCAAACATTTCTACATTTCATTTTTCGGCTCATGTATGTCATCGTCGTCGTCGTTTTTTCAATATACGCAGCACACAAAAACATGAGGTGATAGTATTTCTCGCTCTTGATGCGCTGCTCCAGTCGTGCCGAAGAAATGATGGAGCAATTCATTTCATGACTTTGTAGTATTTTTTGCCACCATTGCTGCGAAATACATTTTTTTCTTAATCAAGAACACCGAGCGAAAGGAAAAAAAAGCGCAACCGAGTTGATATTCGATCATTCCAGTAGCTACTACTTTTACTGCGATGCATTGAGAGATTTTCATCTAAACGACAATGAGACGGCAAACGCCGTGTTTTGATCAGTTTATCGGAACTGAGTGTTCCTCTTCATATCTCGTTAATGTGTCGTTGCGCGGTTATTTCTGCGCGGGCATATGATTTTAATGATTAATATTAGCATATTTGTCAATTTGATAATGAATATTTTTAAAGCGGCTACTGGTTTTATTGTTGAAGATATGAGTGTGAGTGTGTGTGTGTGTGTGTGTGTGGTCGTTGGCCGGATCGTTGTGTCGAATGTTTTTATTTTCCTTCAATTTGCATATATTCGACGGAATGGCGCGTAGGCACATTCGGAGATTGGCTGCCATTTTTTGGACACCTTAATTACCTTCCGACCACAAACCGTTTAATTTGCTGCCAGTCAAAGTGCATGTTTACATTGAGTGTGTATATGTGTGTGTTGCTCATGCACACACATCTTTCATTTCAATTCTTTCATATTTTTTTTCATTTCATTTCATGAAAATAATTTTCAATTACAATTCAGACGTCTGAGTGAAAAGCGATCAAGTGATCATGAAACCGATCTGAGCACAAATTAAATGGTTGTTTTAGTTTTTATTCGTTTGCACCACTTGTCCGTGCTATTCTGCCCACCCAATTCGAAACGTCGTCTCGTTTACTTTACAAATGAATAACGAAATAGTTAAATTTCATTTAAAATATCCGATTATTATTATTGCAAATAATTTACATGCAAAATGAAAACCTCAAATGAATCGTCAGACAACAAAAAGATGCGACCACAATGGAAAATGTTCAAATAACAGCTGTGGCTAATTATTTTGCTTATAGTTTTCAGAGCCAAAACAAATACGGCCCCATTGAAAGGCATTTGGCATGAAATGAGAGGCCATGATTGCAGTTGGAATGAATGGACTTTTTCACTCGTTAAATGATCGGTCTTAATTGATATTTAATCTACAATGTGCTTAGTCAATGCTACAACTTTAATCCGTAAACAATCTGAATATTGACCATTTCCTGACTGCCAGAGACAGAGAGAGAGATGGAGATGACATCGCCTTTCAGCCTTTTCTCTGCTCTCTACTTAATTTTGCATCAAATTACGTGTCTTTGGCTACTTTCAGCTCACTATTACATGTGCTTTTATTTTATCATTCGAGTGGAGAAAATGCCATAACCGTTCTCGCCCGAACATCCAGCTAAAGTGTCGAATAAGGAGTTGCAAATGAAAGAAAAACGTAATCTCATGATTAATGACAACCGTAACATGACATGTTCATAAAGCCTCTCCGATCGAATTGATAAGCCGTGATTATTTTTTTTCGTCTCTCAACATTTTACGTTCGTTCCATCGACGCGATCGCACTTTTTTTTATCAAATACACCTTCGCACTTTTCCAATTTTATACGTATGCATTTTGATGAAATAGCCGTCAGTGAGTGTGTGTGTGTGTGTGTGTATTAATGGCATTTTTATTGTCGCTGTCTTTACACGATAATACGCTCTTTCAAACATTTACAAATCGCTTCGAGAAATGAGTGCTGCTGGTATTTGTTGTGGCCTTTTTTTATAGCAAACTTTCAATTTTATTTGAAAATATGATATTGCGGTGCATCGCTTGACATGACTTTGAGATTTGAAATTCAAATAAATCAAATTAATCACACCAGATTGCGTTCGCTTGGAATTTGACATGCGATAATAATATTATTGCCATGTACGGCATCCAAATTTAGACAAAACATTTCTTGAGACGTTTTTTTCTCTCGTAAATTCAACATTTTTTTCAACGAAGCTATCGATGAATTCCAAACCATTTTTGCTGATTGACTAAAATAAACACGAACGTTGTGGATAAAGATCGCCACCGATCACGTACAATCTAATCACATTTTAAGTAGTAAATTTATGGTAATCAATGCCACTTTTCGATAGAAATTCTAATGTCAATGCGTTTTTGATCATTTTTAACACTTTCTAATGTACGATTTACACTCCATTCGTCGTGCTACTAAATAGCTATATATAAATGCTACTTTACTTGGATTTATATGCTACCAAGGGCTTTCGGACATTCTAACAATGCTCAACCCATAAAATGACTTGTAGATAAACAGTTTGATAGGGTAATGTTGAATGTGCTCAGAGATTTTGAGATACGACTGTTTTGTCCATAAATAAACTCAAAGACATATATTTCGTATTTTATTGAATGAAGATACGAATTTTGATAGTGGAACATGAAAAGGATTATCAGCTTGAGCTCTTAGAAATCAGAACTGATTATTGATGTTTTTCGCCTTTTCAACCATTTTTCAAGAGTAGTCGTGTAAATACACGAGAACAGACATGGGCGTCTGCACGTCCGAACGCCAGAACGAAGGGGATGAAAAGAAAAGAATAACATTTCATTAGGATGAATCAGTGATAATATTCAGTAAAGTACCTTGAAAGTCGAAAAGCAAAGTCAGAAGTTTTGACTCAGAACATTTAGCAAGAAAAAGTAGAATTTTATGTTTTCAATTTTTGTTTCTATATTTATTATAGTTCTTTCTTTCATCGACATTATGAATTTCTTATGAAAAAATTCTAAAATAAACTATACAATAAAATATTCATGTGAATAATTTTTTTCCTTACAACTGATATACATATATTAAAACTTCTTACAATAAAGTAAAAAAAAACTCTAAAAAGCCTCATTTTTCCGTAAACATTACGTGAATTTTCAAATGTACGAATTCATAGTCGATTACAATGGTGTGATATCAGAAGCGTGTAAGTTTCTAATCGAAACTTTCGATAGCGACATTCGATTGCATTTTTTCGTTTTGGTTCTGAATCGAAAATGCTATGTGTTCCCGAAGTCGTTGGATGTTCATTTGATCTCATGTTTTAAGACACATCTTGTGATGTTGGAAAAACTGTTCGTTGTTCGAGCTAATCATCCATCATTTGAGAAAATCTAGACTGAATTGCACAATATTTTGGTAGAAACCACGAAGAGCGGTCGAGATAGAGAGCGATCGAATGTGTCTGTGTGTGGCATTGGATCAGTTGTTGCACATTCGATGCGTTTAAAAATTATGACTGAAATCACATATCCGTTCCAGTTCCAGTGCCAGAGGCACCTTGCACTTCTTCTTCAGGGGCTAAAGCGCACGTACGGACGATTTGTGTGGTGGTGGTGTTGCAAAGATGCGTGCCATTCAACACATTTACAGTTGGCCATTCATTCGCATCTCGAGCTCTTCTTCTTCCTTGGTTAATGCTACCGTTGAATGATTGTACAAGCCTTGTGCCATCAATTGCATTGCCAATGGATTCTTTTGGCCCGTTGATTTTTTAAGTTTGGCTCGTTTATTTTGGAACCAAATTTTAATTTGTGCTTCGTTTAATCCCAATTCGGCGCTCAGTTTCTGGCGGCGTTGTTCGTTTAGGTAATGATTTTCGTTGAACTCACGCTATAGGAAAAGGAAGAGAAGAAAACGAAAATTTGTTGATTAATTTCAAGTTTTTTTCCAACATGTTTAGTAGTTTATATTGATTGGCGGTATTGAATTTCAATCCAAATGACAATAAATTTTTCAATAAAACTGCCAAAAATTGAAATAAATATTTACCTTAAGACGAGCCAATTGCTCGGATGAGAATGCGGTGCGTGGTCGTTTCTCGTCATTGTCGGTTTTGACTTTTGGTGTTTTTGGTTTGCGGTATCTTGGTCCTGAGCTGGGCCGATCACTGTATCGCGTGCAATAAATCCATGCGGGCCAAGTTTGACCATTTTCATCTTTGTTGCTGCTGGTTTCGGACTTTGCATCATCCGATGACTCCATGCCCGAGTCTAAAGTCTCTAATCGCGTGTTTTTCGTTGTGTTTGAGGTATCCGATGATGATGATTTGGTTGTGATTGGCGTGACTGATTCACCATTGCTGGATGCATTGTCCGATTTTGATAATGGTAGTGGTCGTTTCAGTGATTTTTTTCTGGGTGTCGTTTCACTGCTAACTGGTGACGTTAATTTGTTGCCATTCAATGCAGATGGCGGTGTGCTAGGGCTCTGACCAATTTGCGATACCGTTTTACATAAATTTCCCAATGGCGCATATTTGGATAGGGCGCTATCACTCAGTAAATTGTTTGAATAGTATGGTTTTTTGGCTGGGTCTGATGCTTGTTGTTGCTGTTGCGCTTGATGGTAGAAATCGGCGTAGAGTGGCGATCGATGATGTGCATCCAGTGGATTACCATCCATAAAGCCATGGGCTCCAACGCGATGCAATGATTGCTGAGCAACGGCCATGGCTGCATAATGGCTTAATAGCTGTTGCTGGTGGAAATAATGTTGTTGCGCTTGGTGTTGAGGCGAAAAAATGTTTTGCGCAAGACGATGCACATCACTGCCCGGAAGAAGTGTTGCACTGAAATCGATGGCACCACTTTGACGCAACTCACTTCGATCATCCGTCACATCGATCTCTTCGTCATCGTCATTATCTTTATTATTGAGAAAAGGAAAAAAGAGCAGGAAAATGTTATTACTTGAAAAACACTCTTTTTTTAATGAAAAAATCGCGATGTAAATTATTTTCTTTACAATTTTTGTGCGTGAAAAGGAATCATCGATTGTTGAAATGGAACAACCGACTGACAAATCACGAATTTAAGAGAAAAAAAAACTTAATATTCAAGTTTCGATGCCAAAAAACTTGTGATTTCAATGATTAAGAAAATTCAATTTTATTTCAAAATTGGTTTTTATTTTCAATCTTTGCGAAACAAAATTGAACTTGAATCTCATTTCCACGTCAAAGTTCAAGAAAATAATCAAACTTCTGTTGCATGATCTCAGCCGATATAAATGATATTTTGTTCATCCAGCAAACAGAGCGAAAATTGTACAAACAAATGAACCAGAAAAAAGAAGAAAAAACTTGAAAATCTTCAAAACTCACCATTTGAATCTTCATCGTCGGATCGTTGGTCGCGTTTCATTTTTTTGGGTGAGCTTTCGCCGTAATCATCATTACTATTATCGTATGGTCGAAACACAAAACCGTTTTTCTTTTCACTGATCACTGATTTTGGGTTGCCAAAATTGTTGCTCAAAATATTTGTAATTGAGAAGGCAATCGATGTGGCTGGCGTTTGTTGGGTCGGCGCAAATTTCGCAAATTTGGCACGTTCATCACGATTTTCATGTTTAATATTTGGACTGATCAACGATGGTGATGTGCTGCACTCAACAGTTGTTGTATTAATTGCCATTTTGGATATCGTTTTGTTTTGATTTGGAATTTTTTTTCGAAAAAGATGACAAAAAATCAGTTAAAAAAATAACTCAACTTTCCTCACTCAGTTAAATCAATGCACAATTATTATTTTTTCTGTTTATTTTTGTCTAAGTTATTTTTTTCGTTTTTTCTAAAAACACGTTTATTTCTCTCGTCGAAGTTTTGAAGCGGAGTAAAAAAACTGTGACGTGACACAGTCGAATGTCACTTGCAATCTGACTAACAGTTGAGTAAGAACTCTTACAGAACGACTAAATTTTGTTGTGTCTCTATTAGACCTAATCTTCGTGTGTTGTGTTTTCTGGTGGTGTACGCTAGGCAACGCCTCTTTTTTTTCGGTGCGTACGTATCGGTTGGGCTGAATAGCTGAAGCACAACCGAACAGCGCTTAGACGGAGGCAAGAGAGACGAGAAGAGTAAGAGGGATGAGAATAGGATGCAAACCAATATATGCATCTCTTCTCGTCTTTTTTTGTGCTTAGCCGGTCATTTAACAATGAATCCGAAATAGAGAAGTAAAATGTGTACTGTTGAGCAACAGGCCTTGAATGAATGCAACCGAATGAATTTGTTTACTTTGATGAACTCTCTGGTGTTCTCTATTTACTTTCAGACAACTGAATTTACAACTCAACTTCAATCGATGCACAATATTTTCGAAACTAAGACTTGATGATACACGTGATTGTATGGTCCAACGTTTGGGTCCAATTATCCCCACATCGTTTGATACTTCATGGAAGATCGAAGTGACATAGAAAAAAAAACAGAATTCTTTGCTTCCATCAACTCAATTTACTTGTGAACATGAAATAAGGTAATTTTTCCAGCATTTCCACAACAAAATTAATTGCACAATTCGGCTTAATTAAGGAAAGGGGGAAACCCATGGAGTTTAGCTATATCAGATCTAATCCGTCGCATTAATCAATTTGACGCCATTTTTCTACTTGCCACGCTTAATAGAAATAATATCATTAGTTCGCCGACCGTCCAATCACAACATTAAAGTAGTCAATTTATGTTAATCGCTATCATTTCCATAAGTTGTGATCGTTTTTTTCGCAATTTTTGGGCGAAATGTTTGCTTTATCCATCCACTGGCTCCAATACTTTCTAATCGATTAGAATTATCGATCTCTGGAATTCCATGTGAAAAAAAAGACAACAACACAAACCGACTTTATTTTCTTACTCCATTAGTATTTCTTAATTTCTTGTTCGCGTCATATATAAATGAAGTAGCTTGGCTCAATTTGATTGCGCGTATCTTCTCCGATTATATGGAAATGATGAAAGAATGCAAACGAGATAATTTTTTTCCCGTGTTTGTGCGCGGTGGTCGCTGCCGACAGAAAGCAGAAAAAAAGAAACACATAAATTTGACACATCAATCATGTGAAAAATCAATTAAATAAAGATTGGAATCTCTGGCGAAACGGAGAGACGACGGCAACAATTATGGTTTTTACCATTCACAATTGACAATTACCGTAAAGATCATAGCTGATTATCAATCACAGTTTGCCTGTTTTATCAGCAGCAGCAACAGCAGCAGTATCATTATTATTGGCCGTTGTTCGACTGCTTTATCATTTGTCTAATTTTTTACCATGTTTAGAAATAAAAATGTTATTGTATATAAATACAAATCAGCAAATCAGCCAGCCAATGTGTTTTGTGTGTGTGTGTATGTGTGTTTTGAACTCTGATGAAGCACTCATCCATTTTTTGTAACCGAGAGCAACAGAGACTGTGTATGTAACGTTTTCATTCCAATCCGCATCCATTTCTAGTTTAGCCATTTCGATACAAATCGAGAGAGAGAGAACGAGAAAGAAGAGGCAAAGAAGGGAAGAAAGAACGGTTGAGCTGAGAGGCGAACGTCGACAATAACAAAGTGCATTATTTACGGATACATAATTCTGTCGTTTTGCCTCATAGAAGCTCACCGCGCTATCGGCTATTTAATACACACAAACATCGCGCGGATTGAGAGCGGGAATGCTAGGACAAAGACAAAGAACCAGATCCCGATCGGACAACTAAACCAAATGAAACAAAAATACTAATAGAAATATATTACAAACGAAGCAACAGATAATGATGAAACCCGATGGACGAAACCGAAAACGAAACTGAAAATGAAAACGAAGAAGAGAACAGCGAATGAAAGAAGAAAAAGAAAAAAAAACGAACACAGACGAAGAGGACGAACGGGGAAGAAATTCGAATTCAATGTTCGGATGCATTTATAGGTCCGTTCGTGTTTGTTTCATGCATCATAATAATATTTCCTCTGAAATTTGTTTCTCATTTCTTCTTCGGTGTTGCGTTTTTTTTCTCGTGTGTTCTGTTCTTTCTCTTCCTCCATTCTTTGTGTCCGTATTTTGTATTTGGTGGCCGGCGTATAATATGTATTGTATGCGTTTCGATGCTCTTATCTGTTGGCTGCTGCTGCTGTTGCACATGGCATCATTCTCTCATCGGTGTGTGTGTGTGTGTTTTTTTTCTCTCTTCATTTCGGTGTTTAACGTCGGGGATTGGATGATTGCGATGCGCGTACCAAAAGGCATATCGAAAAATCCCAAATCAAAAACCACACGTTTTATGTTCGCCTTGGTTTTTTTTCGTTCCTTCTTTCTTCTTCTTCTTTTCTGTGTTCATCTTTTTGTTTCCACTTAACTTTTGTTCCTTTTTTTTCGGTTGATCATCACATATTTGTTCGGCATTGCACGGGGATATCTGGATTCTTTTTCTTTATTTTTTTTTTGAAGAAAACATAAAGCAGACGCAACCAAATGGAGTGGAGCAACCAAATAAATATAATGGAACGAAACACGAATGAGAGATAGAGACAGTGAAACAGAAGAGAGAAAAAAACTATGCGCACAAGAAGAAACCTTTAAAACCAATTATGTATAATTCGCTGTGTGTTGAACTCACAGAATAAATTATTTTATATACAATTTAGTTGCTTTGAATGCAAACTGGTTTCGTTTGGACCTGATTACTACTGGCCCTGTGTGTTCGTGTGTTTCTATATATTTGTTTATGTGCATGTGTACGCGCGGGGCTGAGATTGGGTGAGTGAGAGATCGAGAAAACTGCTGAACCGCTGACTATAATGACGACGATGATGATCACTTCTTTTATTTATGTACACGTCGCTCGTGTGTTATTTCTTCTGTTTTCGGTGGTATGTTCTGAAACCATCTTCATTTAGTGTGTTGTTTTTCGCGCGCGCGCCGACAGCGACCGCTTGTTTTCTCGCTATCTCAACGGTCCATTCGACGCAAATATAAGCCAGAGGGAGAGATGGGAGACAGGCCAATAAGCGTAAGCATTTCAAACTGTATGCACGTAGCGAAAAAATTACTAAATTAACGATGGACGACGACGACGACGACTACGAAGATGATGATGATGATGATGATGATGATGATGATGATGGAAAAATGAAGAAAAAAGCGTGCAGCACATATTTCAATGAATTAATTTTCCAAACAATATTATATTAATGGCTAAATAAACTATGTACACCGCATCACTCTCTCTCTCTCTCTCTCTCTCTCTCTCTCTCTCTCTCTCTCTCTCGGTGTTCACTCGGTAATGATTGCGTGAAAAACCAGATATGAAACAGTTTCAATAAATGCAACAAAAATACAACGCAAGAAAATGCAGTAACTGCCACACAGGAACTGGGCCTGGGATCGTTCGCAGGCGACACATCGAAAACACCGAATCGAACCGAAACCGATTTCATCAAAGCACAAAGCATCGAAAACCACAAGCACAGCCAGGCAAAGAGCATTTAATAAATTTATAAAGGAGAAATTAAGCCGGTTAACATGGTGTTTCGCTCACCATCATCTCAACCATTCCTTTGGAATGCATTTAAGCAATTTAACGACATATTTTTCTTCTCGTCCATCGTCCATTTGTTCGTGTTTCATCGCATTGGCTGGTGAAATGGAATAAAGTTGAACCATTCCATGCATGCGACTCTTTTTTTTCGTCGATTTTTCATTAGATTGGAAGTTGAGAAAATGCGCTCACGATCACAAAAAACGACAACGACGACGACAACGAAGGCCAAACAAATGATCGTCATCATCAGCAGCAGCAGCACGCGAAAATAAATTCGATTCAAAATAAATGTACGTGAGTTTGTGTCATGCGATGATCAACCCTTTTTCGTTTTAATAATGATATTTTATCATAAATTAGCATTTTTCAATGCAGTTGAAAGACACAGCGCACACAAAAAAAAATATCCACAAAATATTTTCTTTATTTTATTTCAATTAAGATAAGAAGGACGATGATGATGAACAAAAATATGGTTTGAAGAGAGAAATGTTTACTCGTGTTTCAGAAGATCGCGCGCCCGGTAAATATAAAGATGAAATAAAAATACGAGCGAGAGAAAAAAGAAAAAAACAAAAGAAATAAACGAGGCACACAAAACATTTGAGCAGAACGTTGTTTGTCGTTCGCATCGTGGCAAAGCAAATGTACAATTTATGGAACTATCAACGTATCTGAACTTGTCGATGGCATGAAATAAAATGCGAGAAAAAGAGAAGGGAATAAAAAGGGAGAGCATATTTAATCGAACTCCATTCTCTTCACTTTGTTGCCTAGGTGCAGATGCTCACTTTTTCAACTTTGCGCTGTATTGTCGAATAAAGTTGATAAAGACAACCAATTACAAGAAGATTCAAATCATATAACAGCCGTGTCGAGTCGATTCCTCTCTCTCTCTCTCTCGTCTGCTTTTCACTCATCATGTTGCCATTAGTACCGATTTCCTACGATGCTTGATGTCGTCATCTGCGTAATTGTCATATAAAATAAAGGCACAAACTCACACACCAAATGAAATTGTTCAAATTCTGTACGCATTGATGATCCGGCGAGAACATTGAACAAGCGAATGAAACAAAAATCAATGCAAAAACCCATCGACTTTACATCTTTACATCAATATTTCTGCAGCAAAGTCAAGGAAAGATTTGCTTGTGCAGATGACAACGACAACGGCAAACAAGCTGAAAAAAACAACGACGACGACAAAGACTCGAGAGAGACATATGAAATGCACTACGTAAAATATTGAAACATTTTATGACCGAGACATTGAAGTGTGCAATATGTGCGCATTGATTATAACGATTTGCTAATTAAATTTCTGGTTTTATGATCATCATCATCA